AGATACAAAGTCAAAGTTAACCGCACCAAACTTGATTGCAGGAAATATGACTTCAGCAATAGAGTGGTCAATGTCTGGAATACTCTACCCGACTCTGTAGTTTCTTCCCCAAACCCCAAAAACTTTAACCTTAGACTGTCTACTATTGACCTCACCCCTTTCCTAAGAGGTCTGTAGGGGGCGTGCATAAGCGCACCAACGTGCCTACCGTCCCTGTCCTATTGTTTCTCTTATTCTTCTTTTATTTTTCTTATATGTACCCATTTCATGTATTCACAACTATGTATACACTTATACTTATTATCTTGTAAACAATTGGCAAATCAAATAAATAAATAAAAATAAATATCATACTCCTTTTTTTGGTGTGTGTTTGAAGGTTGTTTAATTGAGGCCACCAGACTCATCCTTTACTGATCCGAAAATGATCTGTGGAGCTAATTCAAATTACCCAAGTTTGTGTTTTATGTCATTTCTTACTAAGTTTGTTGAATTTAGGTTCCACTCTGAATCCGGAGGATGATTTAGTCATAATTTAACTCATATTTATCAAAAGGATCAAATTCAAGTAATTAGACATAGATTTAGCCTATCCTAATTCTTCTGTATAATCACAATTTATCTGATCTTCATATCCTCATTTTCAATTATATTCAAGCTGCCATCTTTGCTTCTCCAAATCTACAGCTATCATTCTTTTTTTTTTCTCTTACTATTAAATAACCATCTTGCATATTGAGCCTTTATTCCTTTTCTCTCCCCTTGTTCTGCATAAGGGCAGAAATTATAAAGACAGTGAGCTCCATATTTTTAAATATATATTGCCTACAAGAAAAATAATAGTTTAAATGCTGGTATTAATTAAACACAACTTACTTGTACTGATATTATCAGACTTGCTGCTCTTAGGAGCTGGCCTTTCACACTGTATACCTGACCAGTTTGTAGGGCATCTAAAATAAATAAAAATAACACATTAACCCAGAGGAACAGTTTTCTACATGAATTACCATGTTTCCAAGTATCAACTATTATACTACTTTTTTGTAGATAGTCATAGATATAACATTTAATTTAATAATAAATATTTTTGATTAATTATCATAAAATTAGAACAAAATCTAAGTACAAGCCATTATAAAGGTCATTGTTAGTAGATTTATATTTCAAAACAGAAGTAATCAGAGTTAGCTAAATAATAATATCTGGGTTTTACAATGTGTTCAAATTTAAAATGAATTTACTTTCAGTTAATAGCTGATCAAAATAGATTTTATTTATAGTCTGGATTATAATAGTAACAATTACTTCTGTCCTGTGTTCGCAAATTAAAAATTAAAATTAAAAATCCTTATTAAATGACAATATTGACAATTTTGGATCATATTATTCTGAAATGAACATCTTGTTTCACTTATCATACCCTAGTGCTAGGTTTTAAATAATTAAATACTTTTGATACTTTTGAGTTTGATTGAAAATTTGTTTCATTATTGAATTTACACTCAATTCTTCTTTATACTCTACCATTCAAGAGGGCTTACAATTATTTAAAAGATAGTACAAAACATTAAAAATGCAACTAAACTAAAACTAAAAATCATTTACTAAAATAGTTAACAATTACAGATTTGGCCACAGAGGTGATGTTATCATTTCTCTAAATACTTAAAGAATAAGAGACAAACAGAACTTTGAGGCACTGCATTCCAAATGGTGGGAACCACATAGAAGAAAGTTGTTCCTTGTTGTCAACCATTCAAGTTAGGCCAGGTCAGTAAACAGATTCCATCAATTTGATTGGAACTATATATTTTTTTTTTACTGTAAATAGACTATGGTAACAAAATCCTGAAAGCCTAATTGTATTTTGTATTCCTTCCCTCTTATACACTTCTAAATTAGAATACAGCCAGTCTGAGCTTCTTATATTTTCTTTTTTCATAGGCTTATAGCATGCTTCTGGATTTGTAATTATTTCAGCATAGTTTTGACTACCACTACCCCAAGTCATGTCTGTGGCAAGCTTCCATCTTGAGAAGGTTGTCTCCTGCTGATCTAGGTAAATATCATGAGTCTCGAAGACCAGGTGAGTTATCATTTAGTTTTAATATATTCATTTATTAAAAGCTGTAAAGCAGCACCTCCTTCAATCTGCATTTCCTCTTTGCTCTTTTAAAATAATGAGAAATACATCTATCATTATGATTAAATGATTTTTTTTTTGTCTTCACTCACATTAATTATAATGCATACATATAATGGTCTGAAATGTCTTCCGTTAATTGAGTGGCAAACTATTGTCTTTGCATGCACTGTTTAATACTATCAAACGAGTGAGGAATAATCACAAATAGTTGGACTGGTTGAAAGCAATTTTCTATGCTCCTAATGAGATGATAGAAGTGCTATGCTGGTATGTCACAACTCTTCAGCTTCGTTCTAAAACTTCAAATACAATCTAATTCCTTCAAACTTAATTTAAAGCCTGTGAGATAAAATTTGATTGCTATTACTGATTTTTAAAAAATCTTCAAATAGGTTGATATGTAAGAAAAAATATACAAAATAATTAGTGATACACATTTTCTCACTTTTATGGAAAAAATCTATGGTTGCTAAGAGTTGACACCTATTGGATGGCACATAATCAATTTTTTTTTCATTTAAAATATGCAACTCTAGAAAAATATTGTCCTTTCTAACAATTATATATTATGTATATAAAGGAGAACCAGTTTAACAGAATCTTGGCAGTTTAAATACACATGTAATTTAAAACTTTTCTTTTAAGAGTTTCTTCTTTTCTTCTAAGGTTTTTATATAGCATGACATGTAATAAGTAACCATTAAGTAGAAGGTTCATTATATGCAAAACAACAATAACACAATAATGTCACGGAACAATTTTGTTTAATAACACTCTTATCTTCAATGACAAGAGAATATCACAAATTATTTCATAGTGAAAAGAATCTGCATTAATGGCAGAAAGTTGAAAGCAAAACAAAAAGTGTATTTGAGGGGAAGGAAAGAATTTACAGGCTATGAAACAATTATCAGAATTAATTTTAAAAAATGCTCAAAGTGACTGCTTACATTTTGATGACAACTTTGTGACTTTTATTTGCCGAAAGAATATTCGCATAAGAAATGTCATAATAAGATTTTTTTTTCTAATTTCTGGACTATAGGAACATTTATTATGGCATGTATGTGTGTGTGTATGTATGCAGGTATACAGAAAGAGAGAAATATTCACAAGATAATAAGTACATTGGCAGGTGTGACTAATGAATGTATGGAAATGCTTTTATTACAAAAATAAGGTAGTATTAACTTCACAGAATGGAAGAATGGAACTATTGCTATTAGACAAGCATGCCTTCTGCTTGCTATATCCTCAAAAAGTGGCATTAAAAAGGTGAACATGGAATCCTACCTCATGAAATAGACTGAAAAAAATTGTCTTTGCAGAATGAAAAATAACATTGCATCAAATGATTATAGCTTACTAAATTGACAGGTTCATATAAAATGAGAAATTATATTTAAAGCTACAATGTATAAGCCTATCCTAAATACAAATGGATAAACTCATCATTTATGAATTACATAAAATATTGTTTAAAAATTATATAAATAATTATGTAAGTGTTAAATTCAATCATACAACTGATGGTTTTAGTATAACTCTGTGATTGCAGAACTTCACTTCACAACTTTTCATTTTTTTAAGTTATTTGGGTAGATCCAATAGTTTTTTAGATCTTACTACCTTGCAACTCTTATAGCTGTATCATCATAGCTGTATTCAGTGCAGCTGCTGGGAGTTTTAATTCTGGATAACTGAATTCTGGATAATCCCAGATACAATGCAGTTATTTTGTCATATTTATAGATAGAGGGTTATTCCTGGATTTGCACTTGAAGAAGAAATTGTTCAATAAGGAGAGACCCCCATTACCTAATTTTGTACTATTGCACTGTGTGTGAGAGAGAGAGAGTGGGGGGGAGATCACAGAACTAACTCATAGATCTTTTCATTAGAGAACAGCACAGAGATCTCTTAAAATAGCCATCTATGGCAACTTGCAAAAAAGTAATAACATAGGAGATATTAATTGAAGGCTATTTCATGAGCCTTTACCAAAATGAAAAGGAGACTTAATAGCTGGCAGAAGGAAACTGGAATAGAAATGCACATCAATCCTTTAATAAATATTAATTTTGTCTATGTATGTATTTATCAAGTATAAATAAAAATAAATATTCTTTTTGCCAGGACCACACTATCTTTTCAAAATAGTTATTTGAAATTACTATTTAGTTTGATTGTATCTATCTGTGGCTTTTATCATCATTAACATATTAATTTTATTCCTTGTCCACTTTATTAATTATAAACAACATCTACAACAGACATTACTTTTGTTCTAATACAATTAAATTTACTTTTACTTTAATACAATTAAATGTACTAATTGATTAATACATTTTCTCAAGGTAATATGTTTTAGTTTAATTATGCATTATAAAATGTAATGTTCTAGACATTACATTAACTAGCCGTTTCTTAGCATACTGTAAGGCATGCCAATCAATTAAGCATTGAAAACATGTTAAGAACCTGGTCTTATTTTTGTTTATTCAAAAAATTATCTCTAACATAATAATTTTATATTATTATAAACAGATATGTTGCCAAATAAAATTCAACGAGCTCAAGATATCTAAACTGCAAAGTCTCTACTTCAGCTATAGTATATCTACTCAGTTGACCTGAGTGATCTTAAAAATGTGAAGTGGGATCAGGCTCAATTACTACTTGTATGGGAGGCAATTAGAAAATTCCAAAATGGGAAAATTGAAAACAACAATAACAAAAACCAGAAGTTAGTAACATCAGACCTTGCTACCAGGATCGCAGCATGGACATTCCATGTGATGATTAGGAATCAAGCTTTCGGGAACATCTGAACAGGCCTTTAAAGCTTCCAAGATAAGAATATTATTTTGTCCTCTCCTCTCCTCTCCTCTCCTCTCCTGTCCTATCTTATCTATCTATCTATCTATCTATCTATCTATCTATCTATCTATCTATC